ACTACTATATGGATAAACAACAAGGTTCTACTGTAGAGCACAGGGAACTATATTCAATATTTTATAATAAACCATAATGGAAAAGAATATGAAAGAGAATATATATATATGTATAACTGAGTCACGCTGCTGTACAGCAGAAACGAACGCAACATTGTAAATGAACTATACTTCAATAAAATAAAATTTTAAAAATTTAAATTACATTAACAAGGCCACTAGGATGACTTATTATTAAAATTTTCCAGGTACAATTTCATTCCTCTAAAACAAATTGATGTAAAAGAGATAGTCTATTAAATATAAACTGTTCACCTAAGTCATAAAAACAAAAAATACACCTTAATTTTGAAACAATTTTCTGTACTGCTGTTGCATTAAGTGAAAAACTCATCCTTAAATTCTAAAGCACAGCCTCTCTTCACAGCACTTAGCTTTGTTACTACCAAGAACAGCTTAAAGAGGAATCAGTAGGAGCAAACTAACATTTCAGTGGTAGTAGTCTAATAGGCAACTTTAATTATGTCCTGTACACAAAGTACATATTTGGCAAAGTAAAGGGTGGGTGTTTTAACTATGTATCTTGAAGTGAGGAACTTGTTAGAAGTGAGGAAATTGTTAGAAGCTCAAGTATAAAATAGTAGCATCTGCTGGCAAAACTGCTGTCCAATAGACATATAAGTAAACAGGCAAATAGAAAACTACCATTACGAGGACATTTAAGATCTGCATAAACAGGAATTGCACCTTCCCCACCGCCCTCACTCAAAAAAGGCTCAGAAGAAGAAACAGAGGGGAGATGCCCAATTTGGGAAAAGGTACCCAACGATTCTTCAGTGACTGATCTACAGATGCTAGTGTCTTACACTGCTTGGTGTGTGACAAGGTGAACCAGTCTTGCTCTTCCTCAAAAGTACTTTCGTCTCACCTACCTGACCATATCTTGGTTGAGAAACTTTTCTCACCAGTGCTTAGGTTGTTTAAGGAAATAAACGAAGAGGTTGTTGTTGAAATGTTCCCCCGGTTTTAGTTTTGTTAAATGATCTATTCTAAAAACTGGAGGATAACATTAAGTTTTGAGCAAAGGAAGTAGTTGGTCAATAAATGTAAATGGCTCAGAAAAAAATGCTGAAATCTATTAATTATTGATAGAAATCAAAAGCGTAGTCATCTACTGCAGCATCTCAAAGGCATGCGCAGCCCTCTCTAACAAACACTTAAGGTACCCCCGGTTTTCAGGGCCACTTGCTTGTTTCGGCCTCTAAGTTTCACGCTATTTAGCTCCTCAGGAATGCTTTTCTCCTTCCTGTTTTTTCCCAAGTTTAAGTCCATGGCTTTTGTCGGCAAGCCAAAGAGTCAACTGGGAAGAAAGTGTAATTTCAATGACATTTTGATCCTGAGTGCCGACAGAAGAGGAGGATCATTTCCAATTGTCTTGGGATATTAAAAACAAACACATGTGGATGAAGTTTAAAGAGCACCAGAAGAGATAATGGCTAAGACTTTCCTGGATTAGGGATCTTTGCAATCCAGGTTGTATCTGTAACTACGCTGATGAGAATGGGTATTTCCAGTTCTCTTACTCTTTGGAGTAATTCCCAAAATCCTTTGAGTAGGTATATGCTATAGAAACTGAACTATGGAAGTAGTTAAGCAAACACACAGGGTTTCACAATAAACTCTAGTATAAAAGTAACAGAAAGCTGTAGTAAAAAAAAATATGTACGTGTGTGTGTAATTATGTATGTGTGTGTGTGTGTATATATATGTAGTTGATATAGGGAAATATAATGGAAAACAGTTGAGGACTTAAAAATTATATTCACAATTGTCATATGACATTTACCTTTTTTATTTCTAGATGTAAGCAATTATAACAAAGCAGGAATAAGCAGCAGCACTGGTCACATCTAAAGCTAGATGTGATCTGGTATCAATAGCCCAGAGTACAGGGAGATCTACTAGACATTTGAGCAATTCTACCCAGAATGCCAGCCAAACACAAACTCCATTCCTGGAATATAAATGTATCCATTCACTCCCTCTCATCAACTTCATTCACTCCCTCTCATCAGCTTAACAGTCAGGCTTTCCACAATGCAAATGATTAACATATTCATTGTTCTTTTATGCTTTTGCCTCAGAGTTTTACTTCTTTAAGGATCAAGGATATGTGAATAACTTAGCAAACAAATGCTCCTGAAAAAAACCATCTCTGTAAAATATAAGTGGAACCCGAAGTGCCAGAATGAGTTTGTTTTTTTACTATTTCAAGGGACCTACAAAAATGCTAAGGAAAACAAATCTATGAACCAGTTTTTATTTTATTTTCACTTAACATGATTATATACATTCATGTGTCTAACAAGATCTGCACTGTTACATTAAAAATACAGTACAATAACATTCAACATGAGGTACTTCATATTTATATATTTTTCCTTCATAAATAATGCTGTTAAGCTACTGAATTCAAGCACTCTGATGCACAAGTGGCTAGTGTCTTGAATTAGCGAGCTTATTTAAACACCTTAAAAAAAAGACAGTTCAGTGCAACAGTTATGTAGAAATTAGACCATTTACTTAAATACTATATTAAGATATGCTTAAAGAATGTTACATTAGAACTGCTAGCCTAGCTCCCCTTATCCCCAGGATATAAACAATGACAAAGACTGCCAGGTACATTGGGAAAAGCATCTATAGGGCATTGTTCAATAAAGTTGCGTTTATACGCTACAGTTGCCCGCCTTGTCAGAACAATGGTTTCTAGCTTTAAAAGCTACAAAATTTGAGATTACCAAAGAAAATAAAGCAAGCACATTAGCCTTAATTCCATGTCACTGAAAATGCAGAAGGGAGAATAGGATTTAAAAGATAAAATTTTCTTGTTTTAAATACAACTTTCAAATTTAACCCACAGATCTTGGCAACAGCCAATTAGATGATGGGTGGGTTTTGGGTTTTTCCTTTTCAGGTGATAGCAATTAATATAAAATTAAGTTCTTCCACACCTAGTGTACAGGATCTCACGTGGCTCTCACCCAGCGGTTCCCCAGCCTCTGGAGGGCAGCTACTAACAGGAGCACTGACCATGGGTGTTACTGAATGAACAATCTTCACTCTAAGGTTATCACACCCACCGCCAACAATCAGATATGATGAAATTAGTGCTAAATAAAGTTTCTTCTCCTCTGGCTTAAAAAGTAGTGCCTTCCAATTAGGTATATAGTCTACCAATTTGCAAGGTAACTATGAGTTACCGAAATGTTTAACCATAATTTATAAATAAAACCCTTTGTAGAAGTATTTTTTAAATTGAAGACGTACCTTTATTTCATAGTTTGCCAAAACTACTGTCATCTTGCTAATAAGAAATAACTGTTAGATAATTTTGGAAAGTTGTCCTGGGAATACTCATCTATAATCACCGTAATAGCTTTTGATCATCTACGCTGACATAGGGAACGGTAAAGGTGATTAAAACATTTCCCATAATCCAGTGTTCTCCTCCGTCAGGGAAGCCGGCCGAAGCACCGAGCCCACGTCTACAGGGGGAGAGGTGGCCCAGAAGCACAGGCAGTCACTCACTGGGGCCCAGCTGGGGCCAGCAGGGGGACCTTTTCTGTCCCAGCCCTCACTGACCAGGCAGGGAGGAGACAGTTCCTGAGCTGGCACGCACCTGACGGCGCACGGGCACCCACGCACACACCCACCCCAGGACTAACCCCTGCTCCAGAGCCAGCTTCAGGCTCACAGAGCAGAAGAAGGAGGCGGCCAGTGACCACACTCGGGGTGGCGGGGAAGCCATCTCAGGATCACGCTGGGCAGAAAAGCTGCCCAGAAACACATGGATACTTCAACTGGGAGTGAACACAGTGGACACCACCAGGGTCACGGGCACTAAGCCAGCACAAGCCTTCGCTGAAGGAGAATGTTTTGATGAGCTTTTCCCTCCTTTGTTTACATTATCCGTGGACAAATAAGAGAGCTGGATGTGATGCTGAGGCAGTGAATATTAGGTATCATCAAGTGTATCGCTCTAGACCATTTTCTAAAAACCCTGCAGGCATATATTGGCATTTTAAGGTGGCCAGAGGCCAGATTCTAGCAGTCCAGGAACAGGACAGAATTATAATTAACTAAGAAGATACAACGTGGTTAAAGTAGATCCGGTGAAATACATTACAGATTAAAAAAAAAATCAGTGAATAAAATATCTTATTACATTAACATGTGGTGCTACAAAACTAATTGTTATTCCATTCATCTAAAGAATTGTTTGGTCCTCTTTTCATGGGAAAAAGGGAATAGGAATTCTATACAGTACAACTTTTGAAAACCAGCAAATGGCAGGGATCACAAGCTAAGCAGGGAAAAGGGTCTGACTTTTTCAAACTCTGTATTATAATTTGTCATCAATTAAACTATCTGTTGTATGGGACTGTTTTAGGCTTCCTTTTAAAACCGTTTTAGTTTAAATTAATAGGCCTGCAACTTTTTCCTAATGACAGTAAAATTTTATAATTTAGTTACTTCTAAAAGAAGTCTCTGTACTGCAATATTCTGTCTTCTAAACTAAAAGAATATAAATCTGCCTGTAGCAAAAGTCATGACATAAAACTTCCAATTTCTTACTTGCTTACTTTACATTGACACTTTGCAGTTTAAAATTTAACAATCTTATGAATTTATTAGGATTTAAGAAAAAGCAATGCCCAAAAGTAAAATATTTAAAAGGAAATAAAAGAAGGTAAAGGTGACTACTGTCTACTTTCTAAATTATTAATTACCAAGCAAAACGTCTTTCAAAATTGTACACTGAGGTTTACCTGTTTTTTGGGAAGTGAAGGGTTCTGTTTAAAAATAATGCTTGTTATTGTTATTTTAGACTGTTTATTCCTATTTAAAATAAAGCCCAAAAGGGAATTTGAGGTGATCTGAAAATTGTCCTAAGAGGGACAAAACTGGGAGGTCAGTGGGGCAGTTGGAAAAGAACTCAAAATCTCCCCAGATGTATAGATCCAACTCTAAGAACCACAAGCCTTGATGAGAACTTGGCTCTTTTAGGCATAGAGTTAAAAGCTGAATGCTGCATTTTTGTCTGTACATAATTAAAAGGTTGAAAGAAATTAGAACCTGCCTACAGCTCTGTTCATTACAAATTACCTGCGCTGATCGCATATCTGCAGCTGAGCTAAGCATCAAGCAAGCAGAAGTGTGGTGTGCACCTCAGAGCCTGCACTGCTCTGGGAAGCGTGCTCAAGCATAGAATATAAGTTCGGGGATCTGCCCCCCCTGCACCCCAGTGCCGTTGGTGCTGTCCGACGAGCACTGGAACTGGACAGTGACTTTGCCACACTGAACTTCTGTCATGCCTTCCTGTCCAAAGTAGCTGAGCTCATTGCCGTCCAGGATCACGCTGGCCGTGTAGAAGGTGTCCGGCTCAATCTGCACCGGGTACTCAAACCACACGGGGAAGGTGTTGCTGGAGCCATCTGAGAAGTACTTGCTCAAGTTCTGCCCCAGGACGACGCCCTGCCGCTTGAGTTCGATCTTGGCACTGTACTCGGCTGAGCCGCAGCTGGAGCCGTACAGCCCGAAGCCCGCGATGAACACCCTCTTGTCAACGGCGAACTGGATGCTGTCACAGCGGCCCCGGTAGCGCCACTGGTTGCTCCGGTAGGCGCACGACTGGAAACGGTGGCAGCGCTGCGGGACGAGGCCCTTGCGGGCTTTGCTCACGAACTGCAGCTCGGGCTTCTTGGCTGCGGTGTACCAAAGGAAGATGTCGTTCGTCTCATTCAGAGTTAAGACTCCAGACTGTGCAGCACCGTTTGCAAAATCGTCCAGGGCCATGGTCGGGATGCGGATCAAGTAAAGCGCCTTCCCGAGGACCTTGCGCTTGTTTTCAATGCTCAAAGCCAGATCTTGTCGCTGGCATTCCACTTCAGCCCAGTTGAGAGCTGCCTCGAAAACCACAATTTCTTTGGCATTCAGAGTTTCCCTGCGGAGGATACTTTCTAGTGTCTGGAAGTCAATATCACAGAACCCCTCAGACTTGAGAGCGAGCTCGGCCTGGGCATCGATCACCTCCCAGCACCGCTGGGTCAGGTCCGGTTCCTCAAACAGGCAGCTCTGGGACAGGAGGACACAGGCGTTCTTGGCGCTCAGGCTGGTCTCCAGGAAATTGACGCAGGCCCGGGCGAGGTGAGGGACGATGTACTTTTTGGCAGCATAAAGAGTGGCCAAGACTGTGTCAGCAGCCAAGTCAATTTCATCACAATAGATGTATCTGCAAGAAAGAGCGCTGCATGTAAATGGAATTTTCACAAAAATGAATGTGTCCAGTGAGAAAAGATGTAACTACTTTCAAGTTAGTTCCAAGAAAATCATCTTATGTGACAGTTATTACAAACATGATTAGACATTAAAACAACATCTGAAATACATTCATAAGTTAATATTTCAACTTAGTAGAAAGTTTGTATAATTAAAGACATTAACTTCATGTAACCATTCTAGCCTCTATTTTAAAGCTACAAAATATAGAAGATACTAGAACTGCTTAAGAAAGGGCTGAAATCAAAAATAGTGAATATGAGGAAAAAATATAGCAAAATTCTATTATATATACTATATTTAGTTAAAAATAACCCCCATATGTTTTAGGAGAAATATATGTATGTAGACTTACTTAAAAATTTTTCTGCAAATTCAGATGGAAACAAGTATCTTTAATATCAATACTGTAATGTTAGCAATGATTGCATCTTGACGCTTTTATATAAGAATGACTTGGATTTTCCTTAAACGCAAAACCTGATCTTAAGATATTTTTCAAGTAGTTCCAAGTTCAATAGATTTTTAAATATGGGCTCCAATGCTATCTTCCAGTTAACTTTACATAGAATCCAACGCAGGCTTTGTATCTGGCTTTTTTTTTTAACTCTAAATTCTTTCTTCTCCCCCACACATTCCTTCCACCTTCAGAATTAAAGAATACATTATTTCCAGATACACTTAATTAAAAAACAAAGTTAAGAAAGTCTAAGTATGTACTATTTGTGTGCTCCTGTGAAGTGTCCCCATTTCAGGAGATAAGACACTTCTTATTGTTTTGGGGGACAGTGTCAGTCTCCCAAGATGGTATGTAAAGATAGAAATCATCTGCTTCTTTTAGATGCTGTGGCTGACTAAGAGATAGTAAGAACTGCACATGAGTAAAAAATACATACTAATAACATAATTAAAAAATTTTTCTAGCTACTTGCTGTGACATTTTCCTTAGTGAAACACATATAACAGGAAATAAGCAATAGCTTCTGTAACAAAGTACAAAAATATAAGGATGGCAATGAGAAAAATGACCACAATCATGAATGGAACCTGAATTTTTTCTCCCAGGAAGCCCTTACTCTTTTCTGATAGACTAAGCCAGCCACTGGCAAGATGGCAAGACTGCTCGACTAAATACCTGCAGCACCAGGACCATGGGGAGGATTCTGCAGCCCGGTCAGCACTTTGTAGCTCTTACCCTAGAACTGGCAAGTGAGCAGTCTTCCCTTTTCTTGACAGCCCCCTTTCCAGTAGTACTGGCTACTAACCCACAATGCAGGGGTGAGGAAAACCTGGCCTCCGCTATCCCAGGCAACTACACTGTGCTGATGAAGTACAGCATGACAGTAAATGGCACCTGCTACATTTCTGATTCTTACCACTTTATGTGGACTGCTCATATAATTTTAAAAAGCTGTATCAAGATATATTCTAGGCAACACATTTATAAGAAAAGATGCCTGTCAAATGATGAATCAAATGGCTTAGGTGAAACGGAATTTTGTGACTCGTACTTGGGTTTCCTAATTATGTACCTATATCTGCGGCAACATAACAGTCTACTTGACTACAGTGATGACAAAAAGCTGAGCTAGTGTCAGCATTCTCCTCTGCAACAGACATAATGTCAAATATACAAAGCTAACTTAACTGGGGAAAAAAACAACACACAAAAATCGCTACAGGTAAAATTGAGTTCTGTATGTATATCTCTGAAACATTACCAAGGTCACAAAGTGTCTGTTCGTTAAAAGTATCGGATTAGTTTATGTTTTGGTATTTCACGTGCTCACTTGCCTTTAATTTCCCTATCTCCCACTATGAAAGTTCTAGAGACCAACAAATGGATTTCAAAACTATACTACACATAAAGAATTAAACACTTTAAAGTTCTGGAACTAACTATAATACTTATTTTTCAGTAGGCAGAAGACAATATATATCAACGTTTTAAATGTTTGTGGGATTACTGTCCAACATGTTGAGCCAATGAATAATTTTTTTCAACAAACATTGTAATTTATTCCAGTGACTCAAAATCCCCACAGCAGCAGGTAACCTTGAACTCTGATACACTTTGGTGTGCTAGAATAAGAATCAAGAATAATCACCTAAATATTACTTAGAATAATCACTGGACCCTAACCACACAGTAGACTATCACACTGTCCAGCACCAACACAGGTCACAGAAGTAGATTCTATTTATCTGGTTAACATTTACTGGATTCTGAAAAAGACCCATGAGAGAGAAAACTATTTTTAAAATAAATTTATATCTTATAACTTTACATTTCTGTATGACCAATTAAAGTTTTTCTGAACAAATCCATATAAATCTATAGAAAATTATTCATCTTTCAAAAATTTCTCCTCTACTACAAAATGCAAATGTCTCTTATCCTTGACAAATAGTATCTGACTTCATGTGACAGCATGTGTATGTATGTGTGCATCAAGATCAGACAATTTCAACAGATAATAAGTTTTATAATTGCTGATAGGAGACAATAACTCCTAGAAAACATAAAAACCTCCTAACTGGTAGTATTTAAATAATGTATATAATTTCTGGAATTGTGAAGCAAAAATATAATTTATGTCTTTTTAAAGACTTCTTCACACACAATACTTTCAGAGAGAACATGCTCTATTAGATAACACACCAGAAAGTTATTTTTCTTTAATTATAAGTCATTAAAAATGAAATCACTATACGTGCCACTTGCCCCCAAATTCCATGTCAAGGTGTGATTGTAAACGCTTGCTTCATTCCACATGCTCCCCATGAAAGATGCACAGGAGTTTTCATCAAAAACACTTACAAGGTAAGCAGCACCCACTTTCTTCATCAGTCTCTCTTTTCTATTACCTGGAAGTTATACTTAACTGTGAAACCATAAGAGCACAAAAACAGCATAAACAAACTCTTTCCAAACATACGCAAGATGCTTACTTCAGCATAGCGAGAAAAGCAGCAGGGTCGACATCTGGTATACGGATTTCATCTTTGTCCTCGGCAAGTTCTCCGTAAAACATTGCATGGAAAACAGAGCTCCCAACAGCTAAAACATACTGTGGAGAAAGGGAAATCTTATTTCATGCACTAAATTGAAAACATTTTCAGCAAATCAATCCAGAAAAACAACTCTTAGCAATCAGCTTTAGTGGACACAGAGCACCTAACACCTGCTCTACTGACAAAGCCAAGGTACAGTGGATCTGGCCATGAAAGCAAAAGACAGAAGTTCATGTAAACCAGTCTCTATGCTGCTAATTATCAAGGCTTTAACAGACTGATGCTCAAGTTCCCTCATTATAAAATAAATAAAATAAAAGCTTATCTAACAGATTTCTCAGAGAAGGGTAAACATATGACTTTCCTAACCTATCACAACAACTTCCCATGACTGTAGAGTTAAGAGGGCATGTTTTTGTGTGAGAGATAAAGCAGGGTAGAAGGAAACAAAGAAAAAAATTAAGCGTGGCCAAGGCCCTCTGGAGACGCTGCGCTTTCTCTGTGATCCGGTGAAACACTCACTGCCTGCCATTGGCAAGCTGCCCACCCCAAGTTCCAGGCTCACGGAGAGGGTCCCTCTTTGTAAATCTCAGTACTAAACGAGTAATGCATCTGTTGCTTACTTTGTGTCCTGGCAACCGCTGAGTCCCACCTGGTGGCCCAACCACAAAATGTACATCTGCCATCAAATCATTATTGAACATCACTGCATTTCTGTAAACAGAGGCAATTCATTAATTCACAGCGTTTTAACACCCCCTCCCCAACATACAAAACCCACAAAAGATTCACAAGCTAAACAACAGTTTAATAACTTCAGGGTAAAGCTACAAATAAAGGTTCCAACTATACAACTGCGTCTGTAATCACTGCAAACACATGGAAGTAACTGAAGTTAAAAAAAAAAAGTTATCCAAACTTTTCTTTAGACTTAAGGACAAGTAAAAGGTTTCTATCTTCTATAACCCCCAGACACAGCCCTGTCACCTAAATGTTACAGCTTACAAAAACATTTTTATCTAAGAGGAAAACAGCTGTACTATTCTGGAAAAGATACAAGGCAGTTTTCCATTACCAATAAAGCTTCTGGGAAAAGAGGAAACACAGATTTATGTTAAAATACATTACACGTTGTGCAAAAGCAGAAACTTCAACACAGGAAAACTTTTAAAGTAAATATGCTGGCCCGGCACTTACCTCTCTCTAATGGTGGGATAAAGACCCTGCCAATTCGGGGCCGGAATAAGGTTGTTGTTACTGAGATTCTGCTGGTGGTACTGCTGGACAGTGGTGCTGCTGGAGTTGGCTGGTTTTTTTCGGGGGAATATATCAGCAGCCATCTTCTTCTTCTTTTTAGTCTTCAAGGTAATTATTTCATAACAAACTGGAGGCAACTTGCTGCTGCTGCTGCTACTGCTGCTGCTGCTACTGCTGGGATTTGTTTTCTTCGAGCTTTTCTTGGACCTGTTCTTTACCGTCTCTGGAAGCATCAAGAAGAAGGTGAGACATTTCATGTTCTTTTCCTTGTCATCTACCATGAGTACAGTAGGTCTCTCTTTATAGCCAGATATTCCAAATCGGTGTGAACATCAAGGAAAAGAGGCTAGCACGAGCTAAGATGAGAACAGAAACCAGCAAGCTGATATTTTGCTTCTTTTCTCAGCCGGGCAAGGTGACCTTTTTTTACTATGTTGAATTAGAAACTGGCTTTAAGTTTTATCCAGTACTGGGTCTGTTAAATACATCCCCATCATGATTCCTGTTTCTCTTATTTGCTCATAAAAATAACCCAGTTTCCTAGATCACCTGAAAATGCTACACTGCGCGAAGGTGACAGGCAGAGAGCCGTAGCACTTGCTTTCTGAATTAGGTTAGCAAGATGTGCTGGAGCCGCGTGAGTCTGTTCGGCCGGCTGAAGTTGTGTGGTGAATGGATCAGAGGAGAGTAGGTATTACAGCCCTGCAGATGGAGTCAGACAGCCAGTGCTCGGAGCCAATAGCTGAAGTCACCAGTCATGATTGGACCAAGCAAAACAGTGACACCTATTGTAGTGTGCATAGTTCTGATATTAAAGGAACAGCAGTTGCATTCTCTTGGCTACTATATTATAGTACATTTAAATAAGATAAACAACCTATGAGATATATCTGAAAACAGGAAGAGAAGAGTTTATGTCCACAGATTTTTCTTCGGTAGCTGTGCATTTTCATTCCCCCAGTTAAACAAGCAGGGACTGATATCTACTGTTTCTAGTAAAACCTTTATCCCGGCAGCATCCTAGTACTTCAAACAAAATCTTCCATTCTACCAGCTAAAGGGGATTATTAATAGCAAAACCATATTACACACATTTATTACAGCTTAATGGGAAGGAATGAAATTTTTCTTTTTCCTTTTTTAGTCTCTTTGAATGCAAGTTATAGTCTAGTACAAATAAGAGATGAGGTCATGTGTTCAGTTTACCCCCCCCCACCCCGCGTTTTCTAAATCCTATAATGATCTTTGACAGGATTCCCAGATCACAAAATACTGTTAATTAGACTAAAATGATACCAGTAGGTTTAGCTGCACTGAAACATAAGACACATTCTGGATGTAAAAATAAGATTCAAATGAGACAAATCTGGTAATCAGTGTTTAAAGGTTGTAATTCGCTAAAAATATGTGAAATGGGGCCCTGTTCAGGACTTCAAAAAAATTCAACCTAAATGTTATGGTTACATTTAGCCTCATCACAGTTTTAAAGAATGTAATTCACGAATTCTAACACAAAACCAATAATAAAGCTACCCAAAATGATACATGCTGCACAGTTAAGATGCAAACAGGTTCTCTTGGCTTTGAATCAGGACAGTACTTAACTACTACATGGTTTTTATAAATGTGAATCCTCCAACGTTTCTAGCTTTGCTGAGTAAGGAAAAACCAAAACACCTGCTGCAGGTTCCACACATGCGCATGCATTTCTAGGGGAGCCTAATGAGGAGAATGAAGCACTATCACTCCTACTGGTTTGAAGGGCAGCAGCCACGTGCTGCCCCCACCTGACACACCTTCATGATCACAGCCCTGCTTGCTGCACCACATCCATCTGAATAATGAGTTCCTGAGAGCGAGGGCCCAACAAATGGGAGCTTTGGTTGCTGTTATAACCGACAATCTACTAAAGATAACACAACTAAAATCAGACTTTAAATCCCTGGGAACTGGAATCACTAAACTGAACCAAGGAATATCCTCTTTATTGTCATCATTATTATTCTTAAACCTGTTTACAAAGCCACTGCAGGACAGAGTGTGTGCAAAGAGAACCATGGTCTTTAGCACAGGTTGTTCACCCCCATTTCGTACAAACCCTGAAGTGCCACGTATTTACTACAAGTACCGTATTCCCAGTTATAAGGCTAACACACACACACACACACACTTCCAATTGCCTGCAAACACACTTCACACAATGTGTGTGTGTGTGTGTGTGTGTGTGAGAGAGAGAGAGAGAGAGAGAGAGAGAGAGAGAGAGAGAGAGAGAGAGGGAAGGAAAGAAACACATGGAGAAAGGCACAAAGAACAAACAAGTGAGTTCCTATTAGAGCTAACTTTTCAGAATATGATTAAAAACAAAGGATTTCTCTCCTGCTCAAGTGCTACTGAACTTCCTGACCATCACCATCCTAGGAAAGTCCCCGGGGAGCTCCTTTTGACTGGGATTAATTCCCTGTGTACTTCTAACAAACCTAGGCTCCTTCAGGTCAGAAGTAATCAATTAGAATGGAAGGGAAATGAAGGGTTTTGAAACAGACTTACCAGCAGCTGGAAAGATAAAACAGACAAAAAGCATTAAAGACAGACACAAGAACTTAGAAGTTTTGTGGTTTTTATTCATTTTGCATATAGTTCAACACCCTTCACCAGAAGTCTCCAAAAAACACTGCTCTTATACCACTAGAATAAAGGAAAAAGTGCACGTAATAGTTTAAGAAAGAAAATTATATAATATTTTAGAAAATGTTCTTTATAAAATTAAGTTTCAGTTATTTAGAAAATTAAGTTTTGTGGAGAAGCTTGGAAATATTTATTAAACTGGAATCACCTAGAACAGTGCTGCAAAGAGGGGCCTTGTCCTTATTCACGGATGTGAGGACTGATGAGCACGGCTGTTTTAAAGACTTTTTTTTTTTTTTTTTTTTTTTGCGGTATGCGGGCCTCTCACTGTTGTGGCCTCTCCCTTTGCGAAGCACAGGCTCCGGACGCGCAGGCTCAGCGGCCATGGCTCACGGGCCCAGCCGCTCCGCCGCACGTGGGATCCTCCCGGACCGGGTCACGAACCCGTGTCCCCCGCATCGGCAGGCGGACTCTCAACCACTGCGCCACCAGGGAAGCCCTAAAGACATGTTTTTAACTACAAAAAATAATCCAGTTTTTTAAAAAATAAGATATTTTAATTTTTGTAGCCAATTTGGAAAGGCATGAAAATGTGAATAAAATCAAGACAATGAAAAGCTTATTGAGAGCCACCTTTTCTTCCCACGATAATAAGGCAGTTAATATGAGGTCCCTGCTACTGCACGTGTGGTCGAAGGAGCAGCAGCAGCACCTCCTGGGAGCCTGTTAGAACCCATGGCCTCAGCCAGACTCTGCATCAGGATCTGTATTTTAACAAAACTCTCCAAGTATATATGACATTCAAGTTTGAGAAAACCTCATACACATGACTAAGGGAATGTTACAAGGTCTTCCCAATGTTCCAGTATCAACATCTGGAGCCACGTTTCACATTCAAGTGAATGGACAAATAATTCAAAATAATTTAATTTTGAACCTTCATGTCTTGTTCTGAAATTCTGATCAGCCCCTAAGTGTCAAATTCTATGATTCAGATGTGTAGAAATCCAACTGAGAGGTCCCCAAATATTTTTCAATTTTCAGGAAAAGAAGCTCAAGCCCAAATTATTTTAAAGGGCAGTGACAGAGACAATTAGTGGGGAAAATAAAGGATTAAAAAATGCCAAGTGTGAAACAGATGAACCACCTAATATTTTAAAATAATCTACTTCAAATTCTATTTCAAAAAATTAGCACTGTGGTACAGCACAATTAGCAATCAAATAGTCTAGTTCAGTCCTGGCTCAGCCACTAAAAATTAAAGAGCTGTGTGTGTGTGTTGGGAGGGGGAGGGAGGGAGAGTGTCGGAACACATCATTTAGCCTTTAAAGCGCCTACACAATGAGGAGGTTCATCCAGAATTGATGAGTGTTTCTCAAACTTTACCCTCAATCCACAGTAAGAAATCCATTTTGTATTCAGACCCGGTACTAACACACACAAACACATATATCTATATACAGATGGAAAGAAGGTCACAAAACAAAACTTATGCTTAGCATGTTATGAAACACTCTGATATTTTCTGTTTTATTCTTTTCTTTTCAATATTGGTTTTGATACAGTCCATTGATTTCATGACCACAGTTTAAGTAACACTGGTCTAGATTATTTCCAAGGACTTTTAAGGCTTAACATCCCAGGGTTCTTTCCTATCAGGAATTTGGACTAGGGGCCACCAGACAAGGAAGAAGGCAAGGCTGCATCAACTTCATGGAGCCCATGAAACAAACCCCTCAAATCACATGCAAAATTGGGAGTCTGCATTTATTTTTCTGGAAAGAGAAGCCATATCTGTCTTTCAGAGTAATTCATGATGCAGAACATAATAAAATGTTATGGAAATCGCAGATTAATTTGAATAGTCAAAATATTCATTGTATCATTTCATTTTCTGCTTTCATTTCTATAGTCTATCTCATTAAACACAAATTATGGCTTCTTTCCCCCCCTTGAAATTAAATATAAGTAGTTAAAATCCCATCTATTGAATCTGTAACCCATAAACATCACCCACTGGGTTGAGGAATAAAGAATACCAGCCTGGTATCTACTGTCAAATTTCACGTCTAAAATTTCTTTCGGACTAGCATACTACTTGTTCCTACACGTCCTGAATTTTAAAGCTGTTATGAGACATGGTTAATTTGCCCTATTAAAGTAAATAAATAGGTGAAGTCAAGAAGCCCATCAATCTTTTATGAAAGTATTCTCAAAATACAAACATGCTGATCATGCAGTGTATTAGGTGTCGGGCATGCAATGGTGAGCAAGATTGGGAATCAAGCTTAAAAGGTTAGCGAATAGCAGTGGATTTCAGATAATTTTATAACTGCCGGAAAGTTCAATCACCTTTATCTCTTCCCATTCAATTCCCGATAATAATAAAATTATGAACAGAATTAAGCTCACTTAGATCAAATTATCCGCTTCACCACTGGAAGGTTTGCCAGACATCCGGTCTTTATTTGGTATTACAGAATCTTGTTTATTCAGTTTGGGGACTTAAGGTTTGGAACTAAAAGGGACTATAGAAATCATTTAATGTAACTCTGTCCCACAGATAAGGTTAACTAGGGGTCCAGAAGATTACGGGAT